TCTTAGTGTAAAATTCTTCTGTTAAACTGGAAAAATTCCTGGACAAAGATTTTTTTTAATGACTTTTTGTGCGTTTTTGTGTAAATATGTGTCTGCTCTGTCTTTTCTGACTCCCGTTTGGTCTTGGCAGATGAGAGCTTATACTGAGCAGAGTCCTGCTAGAGGTTTCTCACAGTTAAAAGGGAATCTTTTCCTCCCACTATGACCTCAAACTTGCTGATGTGTGACTGGCTGCCATCTACACTGAATACCCACAAGCTTCCAAGTTAAACGGTTATCTAGTGGAAACATTGCACTGGGTTGTGAACAAATATATGAGTTTTTAAGGGTGCAAATCTGTTGTGGTACTTATGTAATTTATAAAACATTAAAAATGATCTTCCTCTAAGTTATAATTGATGTAACATGACATAACTTCTGTAATATCTGTATTATTCCTTAAATACCTGCTCTAAAATGGCATCCTGTGCTTCTTCCAGGTCCAATGAGGAGGATGATTTGGACAAGATGATTTTCACCACCTTCTTGTGCAGGGCTCCTAAAGGGATCGTAAATATATTTATATGACACTGTCCGTTTCAGCAGGTTACAGTTAAGATAAAAGACTTGAGAGTTTAGTTTTACTGACCAGAAATTCTGTTCCAGTGAAAATTCAAAAGTTACATTATTCTAAAACTCTCTTGAACCATATTTTTTCCAGTAATTTCAAGATTTAAATACATATATCTAGTCAAGGTTGAAGTTAAATTCAGGAGATGGAAGGTTATGGCTTACTTTGTATTTTAAGGACAGAGCTTTCACTACAATGACCTCTATCCCAGTCGAACTTGTTTAACTCACCCCTACAGATGAAGGGATATGTGCTGGAACAGGGTCTTATATTCCATACACTGCTTGTTGTAGTCACACATGAGTTTTCCACTGTTACTGACTGACTTTGATTCCATTTGCTGAATGAAGTCATCTTTAGGCGCTGACCGTCTGACCACCTCCAAGACTCTTTGTACAAGCCGATCCATGCAAAGTCAACCGTCACGAGCTGTGAAATGGCCTCATTCTCAGATTCACTTCTCACACTGGCCAGATCTATGTAGTTTGCCCTGCAGTACTTTTGAGCATCGGTCCAGTTCATCTGTGTTTCTACATAGACATAGTGTGGAGATACATCTAAAAAAAAAAAAAGATGAATCAAGAAACAATTAACAAGCTGTTCTTAACATACCCAAAATAAATAAAAAAGTCTGTGAAATACAAGCTAGAGGTGTGAAGGACAAATCAGGCAAGAACTATGTGAATACTTCAATACAACAAATGTTACAAATAGGTTCTTTAAATAAAACACAGAATGAAACATTTTCATCATTTAGTAGAGCACACTTTGCCCTTATAGCCCGCAGTTATTGTGATTTGCGCCAAGCATCTGGCTATTAAGCATTCCTGGACTTTGTTTCAGCTTCTTTATAAACAGGATTTTGAAAACGGACCAAATCTAGACTTAAAATCTACGTGACATTTCTGTCAAAACAATCAAAATTTCCTATAGGATGTTATAGGTTTGAAGTATTTTGGTTTAGATTATTAATAATTCATAAAACAATGAAAATCTTCTTTGATCTTTCATACGTGTGAGTATTTCAGAGCAAACTTTTACTCTTCAGTTTACTTTTAGATCAGAAGGTGGTGTAATTGTTAGGATTGACTCCTTCAGCATTATAACTGACCTGCATTTAACCCCAGTGGCTGCTGCCACCAAGTGTTGCTGTGAGGTTTTGCAGTCAGTTGAAAGTTTATGACCTCCTGCCATCAGGAGTCTGATTGCAGCCCGGGGCATGTAAGGCGAGGCGAGTTTATTGGCAAAGAACATTTTGAGTAGTAAGACATTTTAACTACATGAACAGAACATAAGGCAGTACATTTGTACAAAGAAAATAATAATCCTATGTGATCTAAAAGTAAGGGAGGGATTAAAGTTGGAAAACAAATCTCAAACTAATAACATTTCAGAATTGGATCCTCTCCTTGATGCACTCAGTGCTTTTAAGCCCATATTTTCTTAATGTCAGAAAACTGTAGAACCTAAACCTGGAAGAACAGTTTTTAAAATCTTAAGCTCATTTCTTAACCTTTTGAGTTATCAAAATTATTAAGCCTAAATCTTCACATGCTTATCTAAAACTCTTTCCTAGAAAGAGACATCTATGGAGTTATTGTACAATTACTTTACATATTACTAATATAAATGTAAAGTACTCCTATATCAGTGGTTCTAAGGTTTTTCTCTAAGTTCTTCTCTCCAATTTTTGCAAAGTAAGCAACAGTGTGCAAGCAACTGCCCACTGCATAAAGTGCCATGTGTTCTGAATTGCAGAATTTTGAATAAATTAATAGTACCAATCAGAGTCTCAGCTATCCTTTTACAAAAAATCGTCTTGCTTTTGCATTAATCAGTTTTTGTAGCGTTTTGAACGATGAAGCCCTTTACTGTGGGTTAGATCACACTAGTTATTTATTTATTATTCATTTTTTGAATATGTGTAGTTATACAGATTTCAATTCAAGGCATTCAATTATGATCCCAACGCTACTCCAGACATTTTGAACAGAGAAAGATTTCTGGATGGGAATGGATCTTGATTGGATTGGAGTGTAATCTGGGACCTTTTTGCTACAAGGCAACAGAGCAGGTCATCAGGCCAGCTAACAGCTATGCTATGTCTTTCCTGGGACATCATAGAGCCAGAGTAGTTTTTTTAATTTCTTCATTTTACAGAAGATAAAAACTTACGGAAGAGGATTAGGGCCA